AACCACCATAAAAAATTAGGAAATAAATTTAAATTGTGCTGTTTTTCGTTCTAGAATGACCACAGATTATAACACGAAAACATAAATGTTTAGACTAAATAGCTTAAATCTCATAACATTATACATATATATATATATATATTTTTATTATATTGACCTTCCAATCATGCCTGGCTAACAATACAGAAGCTACAATGATAAATATATATAGATGTATAATGTTATGAGATTTAAGTTATTTAGACTAAACATTTATGGTTTTTTGTTATAATTTGTAGTCATTGTAGAATGAAAAAAACGTAATTTACATCTATTTCCTAATTTTTTTTGTTTGTTATGAGGTCAGTAAAATCAACCAAACCCATACAGAGATGCAATATTGAAAATAACAGATAAAATAAAAAGTTTTTTCTAAAAAAAAACATTTGATAATTATCTGGAAGTTATATGGATTTTGCATGTGAAATTTGACAATATTCTGATGCATAAAAGTATTTTTAATTTTACAGTCAAAATTACTTTGCATGTGGGATACTCAATATTGAAAAAGAAAAAATGCACAAGCAAATAATTACTTTAAAAATCTTAAAATTTAATAAAACAATATGATATTTTGTGTATGAAAGCCTTGATAATCTGCCACATTTCGTGAAGAAATGCTTATTGTATTAACCGTATCACCACAGAAATCCTTTACTCACATGACACAAGGTTTCAGTGTTTTACATTCAAAATTTTATTAAACTACTTTTTGTTTATGTTATACGAATTAGAGTAGCGTAATATCTTAGCTAATAATTCATATTATAATAGTATATATGTTTTAAGTTCTTAATTTTACAAGGCAATATTTTAAAAAAATCCTGAATTTCCCATAGTGTGATACACGTGACACATGTTCTCTAGGCAACTTGTCTCCTCTATTTTATCACACACCCCATGGAAAAGTATGAAAGTAAATGTAACTTACTCTACAACATCGTCATTGCTCCAACAAACCATATTTTTTATAATCTTCAATTTTGTTTGGTTACAGAGCTATTGAATAGAAAATCAGACTCCACCTGTTGCATCCTCTCTTTCAGGATTTGTTAATAGTTCTGACTTACATTTAATTATATTATTACCTATAACCAATAGAAAGTGAAGGTTTTCATCTATTAAATGGCGTATTATATTACATTATGTTTTGAACGGTTAAATGCAATTTCACTCAGAGTACCAACATTGTTCCTGTGAGAAAGTTAACGACTAGCTTGGATGAATTTGCAACGATTCTTGTCACATAGTTAGAAAGCCAGAAAATTTTGAGAGTTAAGGGAATTTCTCTACTTTTTGCATGTTATTAGCCTATATTCCTTGGTGCATTATTTAATTAACTCTTTCGAGACGGGTCACAGGTGAAAGGCCATGTCATATATTTTGTTGACTCACATTCATAATGTTATTGAACTACTATTTTGTGAATTTATATCAATAAGTTTGGTACCAAACTGTAGATTATAATTCAAATTTTAGAACTATACATAACTCAATTTCTTAATTTAAAAGGAAATATTAAAAAACACAACTAAACATCGACTTTGTGTGTCACGTGGTATGTTGAACACAGCACTGGTTCGAATTAGATGTTTGTGCAGTCAAAATACTAAGTCTGTAGTTTCATATGAATTAAAAACTCAAATTACAGATATTGACAAGCTAGAATACAAAATAAGAAGGTCTTATCTTTTCAGTTTGCTAAGATATTGCTCACTTAATAAATAAAACACATTGGCACCCCGCTCACCTCTTTCAATTTTTGGAAATGCTCCCTTATATACACCTACTTCTATATATGAAATGAATAACCAATCGGAAGCTCAGAATGTCCCCCTAGTGGTTTTCTTAGCCTTTCTAATGTTCCTTTTGCCATTTCTTTCTTTTGAATCACTATTTCAATGAGGTAGGTTATGTCATTAGTCTGCTCGAAATTTCATACTTTTTTTAGACCCAAATGCAGCTTAGTTAATAAGTTTGATGAATTATAGTAGAGTTCCATGGTATTGATGTAGTAATTTATGATTTTTTAGTTATTCAAAAGTATATATAAAATATAAAAAAAAAGTTTTGTTTTATATCCTCCACCTGCAAAATTTTTAAAGACTTGGTAACCTACGTCAAGCAGCAACCAAGTAGAAAGGTCATAACTAGAAGAAATAATTGTTTGCTTTACTTCTTTATTTACTGTTCTATGTTTTAGGAAAAATAACTTTAAGAACCTATTTCAAAATACCAATAATCTATATATATATATATGATTGTATAATAATTGAAATGTGACT